TTCACTCACTGGGGGTGGGATTATACACAAGGTTGTTCAGCTCATCCTTCCTCTCCTGTGTCATGTTGTTTGGGAAGTCGGTGCCAACGGGGGCTGAATCTATGCCAACCATGGTACTTAATTCGTGGGTAGCATCGGGAGGTGAAGTTCTTGGCAGCAGGCAAGCTCCACTAGCAAGTGCGGTGTCAATAAGTGTGGCGGCGGGGAGGGTGGAGAGAAGGGCAGTGGCAGCAGGATTGGGGACAACTAGGGCATTGCTACCATGTTCGTACTTGCAGCGATCGCCAAGTATGCAGAATCCTTGCTCGTCAAAGTACCGGCACCGCTTCCTGCGTTTCTCCGGTACTTCATTAGGTTCATCCAATGCACTGCGGAGCCGTGGGGAGCCGCCTTTCCTAGCACGCGCATCACGGTCGTAGTTTCCTGTTCTGGTGGCTCGCGTTCGGTCCAAATCTGAGCGTTCCAACCGTTGAACCGATCGCTCTCGGTATTCTGGGGAACGTTCGGGCGATTGCCGAGGGCGATGAGGCCTATGCGAAGTCTCAACAGCGGACTTATCTGACGATACGACAACTGAAAACAATGATCAATAGAAAATATAGGTGAAGGTAAAGACATTGAGGAAATGCTTTATCGTATACACCAAAAGTGATGTGATAAGGGTCTACTTAGACCCTCAAGTGGTACTGATAGCAACTTCCGACCACCACAACGAATACATAAAAAAGTAAACTAATTCCTTTTTATAGGTATAATGGTAACGAGGAGTACTTTGGATCAGCGGCCTTTTCGAAATTAGCGATTCCTTGAAGGAAGAGTTCTCTTTGTGTTTAAGTTGCAGATTAACCTTACTTAGTGCTTTCAGTAAGACGCAGCGGTGGGGACACTGGTGAGATGTGAACGAAGCCATATGTACTTTCTTAATTAATAATTGTAAACTACTTGTTTAAAGGTGCTGTAAACTATTAATAACAGAGAACGAGTATGGTTAGAAAATGGTTCGGAAACATAATTAATTAACGGTGTCTTAATTTTTGCACCGGCTGTAGTAATCATTGAATTACACTTTATAATACAGCAACTTCATTGTTTGAATAACGGCCAGCATACAGCTCTCCCACCGCGAGTAGGAAG